ACATTAACACCTCTTCTATCCCCTCTCAGGCCAGTGTTTTATCTCTGGTTTCTGTAGCATGAAGTGACTAAGAGTAGTTCTATATATAGTTCCCCTGATTGGCATGCTAGTCTACCACAGGGTTGCCCACCCCCTCCCCAGCATTAAAATCCTGGGTACCCATTTATACACCTGGGTGGAGAGAGGCACTGTGAGAGTAATTAAGTGCCTCGTTCAAGAACACAACACAATGACCCTGGCCAGAGCTCGAAGCTGGACCTCTTGAGCCGGACTCCTACTACACTAACTGTTGAGCCAATACTGCACCTCCCTCTTACATACAAGTCGTACTCCTAAAGGTGCTAAACAGAGATGAACTGCCATCAAGGAAACGGGTGTTTGCAGAAGAGTCGCCCTTGAAATAATTATATTTAACCCATCATTCTGTTGCCATACTAGGGCACAGAAAATAGGATCAAGTCCCAGGTTAAATGTCAAACTTCACATGAGATGAACTAAACTGAGCGAATTAAGTTCAACATTTGACTCAACTGAGTTCGTCTGACTGAATTTAGATTAACCAAAACATTCTATCCGTCTGCTTTGATGTTTGACCCAATGGTTGTGCTTTTCCCACTTAGATAGACTCAAATTGCAGTTTAGTGCATCTCATGTGATGTTCAAATGGTCTATAATATATTATGGTTCATCAGGTTGACACAACAAGGCTGTATGATCACATTCTACAAACCTGGCCTGGTGATCCCCCAGTAATGGACTGCAGCAATGTAGAGACTGGGTCTTTATTTGGAGTCCTGGATCCTGTTAAGAAAACAAAAACCTCAGTGAAAAGATAATAAGGTGAAACAAAACAACATTTTGTCTCAGAGGTTGATCTAGGGGAGGGGTTGAGAGGGTTGCAACCCCTTTTTTGAGCAGCATTTTTTTGCTGCTTCTTTGACTCTAACATACAAATAACAGAATAAAATTGTTATATATGTAGTTGTTTCAATTCCACCAATTGAATTCGTCGAACAATAATCTTTAAATTTTGTGACTGCATTATTATTTTTGGGTTTCTGGTCCAAAAATAAGGTAAACCCCAGATTTTATATCATGCCTTCACAAACGATTTTCAAGTGTCAGGAATGCTTAAGTGGTGTTTTAGAGGGTAAAATTTTTCAGGGAAGCATTGCCTTCAGGACCCCACTAGAATATCATGCCTGCAATGCACACCCCCCCTTTCAAGAATTGCTGGATCCACCCTTTTGTCTACTGTGAATACAAAAGTTAAGGGCAAAAAACAAAAAAAAGAAACAAAAACAGAAAAAAAACATGACACAAAGATACAGGTGGGGGTGGACTGGGAATGAGGCTGGAAACAACTTTACAGAATAAATAACTTAAACATATTAGACACCAGTTTTTCAAAGGTAAAAATAAGCGATAACATAAGGTACAATAAAATTAAGCACCTAAAATCAACCAACCTTTAGCCTCATCTTTG